GCAGCCTACGTGTCCATCAACAAATAAAAGGATAAAGAAAATGTGATATGTGTACATGATGAAATTTTATTCAGTCATGAAGAAAAATAAAATTGGAATTTGCAGAAAAAAATGGATGGAATTTGAGAACATTATGTTAAGTGAAATAAGACAAACTCAGAAGGTCAAGGGTCATATGTTTTTTTCTCATATGTGGAAGCTAGAGAGGAAAAGGAAAAGAAAGGGAGCAGTCATCTCATGAAGACTGAAGGGAGACCAATAGAGTAAAGAGCCCAGAGCTAGGGAGTGGGGAGAGAAAGGAGAAATACTGAAGAATGATATTAGTCAATTTATATTGTTGTATTGTGTGCATGCACAGATATGTGACAACAGATCCCATCATTATGTGCAAGTATAATATACCAATTAAAAATGTGGAATACAAGAGAAAATTGCCATTGTAACAGCATTAAGAGGCAGGATCTGTAAGAGGTAATGAGGTCATGTGGGCAATGCCCTCAGGAATGGATTTTGGTTGTTGTCTCAGGAGGGAGCTCCTGATAAAAGAATTTCATCCATTTTTCCTGTCTTGCCACATGATTACACAGCAAGAAGGCCCTTGCCAGATGCCAGTGTCATGCTCTTGGGCTTCCCAGTCTCCAGAACTGTGTGGAATAATTTTTTTTTTTTATGAATTACCTCATCTGTGGTACTCTAATGATGGAAAGCGGACTGAGAACATATCTATGGTTTTCTAGGCTTTTGCTGTTTTTTTTCTTTAATATAGTTAGAATATTAAAATGTTTGTGGTATGAAGGAAACATACAGAGAGGTCTTTCCCAAACTGAAGTTTCTAGAACTGTAGATTCTGGCTGAGAACAAAGGGTGAAAGGCTCTGTGATCCTGAGGGCAACTCATCTTTGGAAAAAACTGCACATCATTCTTTTCAGATTCACAATGTATATCACTTTTTTCCTCCAGTACTGGGTTGAACCCAGGGGCACTCTACCACTGAGTTACGTATCCAGCCATTTTCTGTCTTTCCTTCTTTCTTTCTTTTATCTTAAGACAGGGTCTCACTATAATTTCCAAGATTGACTGCAATCCCCTGCCTCAGCCTTCCAAATTGCTGGAATTACAGGTATGTGCCATCCCACCATTTTAAAGACATTACCATTTTAAAGACACTGACAAGTCTCAGTAGTAAAAGAGATATTTATTTAACTGTGCTTAATCTTTTCACACCTACTAATTACCCTTAAAACTGGCTTGGACAGGGAGCAGTGATACATGCCTATAATCTCAGCAGTTTGGGAGGCTGAGGTGGGAGGATCACAAGTTCAAAGTCAGTCTCAACAACTTAGTGAGACCCTGTCTCAAAATTAAAAAAAAAAAAAAAAAAAAAGGGAAGGGTTGGCACAGACAGCAGCCCATGCCCTGCTCTGAATTACTCTACATAGAAAACAGTTTTTAGGATGTGCGTAAACCTCAGTTACTCCATTCTGTAAAGCAATAGTTTATTTGCCATTAAACTCCATTTTGAGTATACAGGTGGAAAGTAGAATGACTGCATACCCTGTTTGTATAAGCAAACACCACCATCTGCCCGGCACCACCATAAGGCACACACTGATAAATAGCGTCTATGGGCCAACCAATCAAACTAGATCAAGGAGTGCCTGGACATGTGAACATCCCAAATCCTATCAGGAATACCAGACATGGGAGCTTATCAACCTCACCAGATGAGGATGCCTCACTCAAGACCCATAAAAGGAAGAGCCCCTAAGACTGAACACAGTAGCACACTGACTCTGTCACCAGGTCACTTATCAGAAAACTTGCCCAGGAAAAATGCCACAGCAATGAACCTTGATTTTATGTCCCCAGAGGGCTTGAGCAAAGTGCAGCTTCTCCTGCCTGTGATGACCACACATGGCCTACCCCAGCTGACACCTTGAGTTGACATTCAAGCTGAAATTCCCATCCATCTGGACCCTCTGCTTTGACAACTCTGTGGAACTGGTGCCTTTAAATCCTTATCTGACCACCCACAGTGACTCTGACTCTGCATTCATTTCTCCCTGTGTCTGTGCCATTGGCACATCATCCTATAACCCTGAAGCAGCTTTAACCTTTCTTAGCATATTTTATATATATTTATATTTGTATAAAGTGTGATTATGTGACTTGAGAGTTACAGATATTAGAAATTAAATTGGAATAAAAGAACCTATCATTGCCTGGCTTATGACTACCAGGTGACCCCAAGTATTCATTCAGTAAACTGTTATTGATGAAACTGGCATAGCCTATGAATTTGTTATTATTCAACAAATTCTGACATTGGTTTGGGAAGGCCTCGCCTTGTCCAGTCTCCTTGTCTTACAAATGACAAAGAAGCCTAAGTCCTGTGGGCTCCTGAGGGTTCCAAACCAGCTCAGAGCCCCAGGTGAGACTTTTTCTCTGAGGGATCCACTTCCTTCTGGTCTTCAGCACAACTACCCAGTCCCCTTTCCTAGGAAGACAGTGTTGAAAGAGTGGGGACAGGAGAAGAGTGGAAGTTTGCTTTGATTTCAGCTGGATCATATAGGATAAAGATGTGTGCATTTATACAACTTCTATGCAATAGTAGGTATTAGGACACAGACACATAAAACTATCCTATGGATCTTTCTCAGCGGCTCCAAGGAATTAACAGGAACAAGCATGGAGCAAAGTATCCTGGTGGAGATCTGTAGGTGAGGTTCTGCAGCTGGGGGACCCAGACGTGGGAAAGGGCAAATGAACCTGGCTCCCCTGGAATTTGGTAGTACCTGCTAAAATACCCACCCTTCCACTCTACCTAGAATTTTCCCCACAGGAGCATAATTCCTTTAGTATAATAAAACTGATTTTCCCCCCTTATTCTAAGAGGTTAATAATCATGCCAATGACATTTTGGAAAATTCTAAAGCAGCTGTGACATCCAAGGATTATAGAAGTTAAGCAGTCTGACACCCACCCACTGTCCAAACACACCCTTCACCTTAATACTGCTATAACCTGCTTCCCTGAACCTGCTAGCCTGTACAATTTGTCCGTCTTGCCCATGAAATACACACTTTCCTCAAAGAGGCAAAGGGTTTAACTATAGGGTTCCATCTGTTACTAGAATTTCTCTTGCTTCCTCTCATCAGCAAACTCCAATTAATCCTGCAGTGTCCACTTCAAGGGTCCCTCCTCTGTATCGCCCTGTCCAATACACTGCTTGGATGGTCACTCCTGCCTTTCTGCTCTCCAGTACTTGGTTCAAACTTTTGGAATGTGCTGCATTATCATTAGCAGTTTCCAGGTCTCTTGCCTCCTCCTTGTTGCCTTAAATCTAGTATACTACCTAGTACACAATTAATGTTCCCTAGAATCATTGAATGAACGAGTATCCAGCATTGCTATTATGTTTCTTTTCTTTTTTTTATTTGATTTTAATTTTTTAAATACATGACAGCAAAATGCATTGCAATTCTTATTACACTTATATACCACAATTTTTCATATCTCTGTTTGTTTATAAAGTAGGTTGACACTATTATGTTTCTTTTCACTGTTGCTTCTAAGTTCATGCCTTATGAAGCAGCAGGCAATTTACCTTGTACTGCTTTCCTACTTGGGCTCTTTGTGGAAAGAAAACAGGAGTCTGGGGCAAAACCAAGCAATTTTGCTAATTGATTTTACTGATGGGTCCTTATTTGAGAAAGGAGATGTAGAGAAACAACTTCCTTTGAGATGTCATCACAAGTACCCTTTCTACTGTGAAAGCTATAACCCAGTCAGTCCACCTTAGTTTTAATGGACCAACTAGGTGGTAATGTAGGCAGATAGGTGTGGCTGGAGGAGGTAGGTCACTTGGGGTGTGCTCTAGAAGAGTGCATCTTCCCTGTGTCCTCTTCCCCTCCCTCTCTCTGCTTTCTGGGCACCATAAGTGGGGCAGCTTCCCTGCACTAAGCCTTCCTACCATGATGTTCGGCCTCATCTTGGGACCAGAGCAGTGGAGTCAACCCACCATGGACTGAAACTCTGAAACCATGAGCAAAAGTAAACTTTCTTCCTCTAAGTTGTTTCTGTCAAGTATTTTGGTACAGAAAGGAAAAGCTGACCAACACAGTAGGGAAACCCACAGGCATACGTACTCCTTCCCTTCCAGAGCTACCAGCCAGGCAGTGGGAACAAATTATGTAGAAGTAATTAAACAAGACAATTACCAATGCCAAGATGAAAAAAACAGACAAGAAAGAACAGAGTGGAATGAGAAACACAAACATAGTAAGGGAAACTAGACTTGGTAGTTAACCCAAGAGATCATGTTCTCTAAACTACAGACCCACCCTCTGGTGAATAGGCAAGAAGCTTTTGTTTCAAATGAGGCACCATTGCTGCCAACAACTTAGTGTTTCTTTCCAACTTTAAACAAAGGAAGGCTTTTTTAAGCAATACACTAGAGATGCAACCAGAAGGACTGACTTGTTGAAGACAAAAAGCTACTGAAGCAAATAACATTAGAAAACCACATTTTCAATCTAATTATATTAGTCACCAAAATTTAAATGCTACTCTATAGGTTTATAACACAGACTCCCCCCTACCCCCATCCAGTGCTGGGGATATACCTAGGAAACACTCTACCACAGAGCCACACCTTTGGCCCTGTAATAGAGAATATTTTTCATAAGTAGTTTAAGCTTATTTCACCAAGTGGTACTTATTCTTGAAAATTCATGCAATGATTGTATGCTCTCATAATCCTATTACTAACTTATTGAAAGAGACCACAATGAAGGATATAATTTTTAAAAATGTAGAATGCTTACCAGCTAAGTATCACGTACTTATAATCCCAGCCACTTGGGAGACTGAGGCAGGAGGTTCAAGGTCCGCCTTGGCAACTTAATAAAACCATGCTTCAAAATACAAAATGAAAAATAAAAGGGGCTGGGGCTATTGCTCAGTGGTAGAGCACCCCTGGGTTCAATCCCCTGTAATGCAAAAAAAAAAAAAAAAATGGCATGTCATCCATGCACAGGAGTCATGCTTGTCTTCTCTGTATTGTTACAATTTTAGTATGTGAGCAGCTGGAACAAGTTATACAAGATCTTAACAACACAAGACAGGCTAGTCCCACCCATGGTTCAGTTATGTAAAAAAAAAAAAAAAAATTTCTGCCAGAAAATTAGTGGAAGTAACTTCTTGTATGTGGCATGCTCTCCCACTTCAGACTTTGGCCCCTCCTGTTCTCTCTCCCTGGATACCCTTTCTGTCTGATTGATCAGTGCTGCTTCTCATCCCTTCAGACTCAGATCAGCCAGCACCTCCTCAGCCTGAGTTCCTCAGACATATGGGAGCTTTCTCTATCTGGCTCCCACAGCTCTCACAACACACCACAGCTGGAAGCACTCGTCAGTATTGTCCAGATTGTCTACTTCTAGAATTTTCATAGTGCAAAAACCTCAAGGCCTCTGCAGTGTCTGGCACATTTTGAGTGATTGATAAATGTCTGCTAAAAATATACTTGCACTTTAGAAAAGGAAAAAGGCATCACTTCCTTCCCTAGCAGAAAGAGGAAGAGCTGTAACAGAGTATGACTTCATACATTTAAAAGATCTAAAAGTAACACTGTATCTCCACATACACATAAAACCACAAGAACCAATCTTTATTGCAGCCACTTTAAGAATCACAAGTGTATAGAGTTTAAAATGCTACCAATGATTGCTCCGTACTCTCTGAAGCCTGAAAATGGAAAAAAGAAAAAAGAGAAAGAGATGATTGGAGGTGGTATAAAGATGTAACCTTGGGCTGGGTGGTGGCAGAATCCTGTAATCCCAGCAGCTTTGGAGGCTGAGGCAGGAGGATCACAAGTTCAAAGCTAGCCTCAGCAATTTAGCAAGGCCCTAAGCAATGTAGCGAGACCCTGTCTCTGAATAAAATAAAATTTTAAAAAAGGAGGGGGGGGGGAATGTGGCCCAGGGTTAAGCACCTCTGGGTTCAATACTTGGTACCAAAAAAGATATAACCATAGACTACTCCCAAATGAAAGTCCAACTTTTTAAAAATTTTGTTCAGTGTTGAGGATAGAACCCGTGTCTAGTGCATGCTAGACAAATGTTCCACCACTGAGCAATACCCTAACTCAAAACAACTCAAAATTCCAATGTCCCCCCACCCAGTTCTAGGGATTGAACCCAGGGCCTTATCTGTGCTAAGTAAGCAGTGAGCTACATCCTCAGCCTTTTAAAATTTGAGACAGGGTCTCACTAAGTCGGCCAGGCTGGTTGTGAACTTGTGATCTTCCTGCCTCTAGCCTCCCAGGTAGCTGGAATTACAGGGGTATGCTACCACACTGGCCTAAAACTCCAACTGTTTTAAAAGCAGCTAAAAAGTCTATGATTTGGGGGGGGGAAGCTATTACAGAGACAGGAAACAGATGTTAATTTTTTAGAATAATTAAAAATCACTACCAAATGGTGTCCTTCTACAGACATAACCAAAAACAATGTTTATCTTTTCATCCCAGACATAGCTTCTCTTAATTGAATAATTCAGAATTACACAATATTAATTGGCTATGCAAAGAACAGTTATTAAGCTTTTAACCTTTGGTCCATAGCAGCATCTGTGGCTACTAAGACCCAAATCTGGCACATGGAATATTCTGTAAAAATCTGCCCCTCTGACCTTCATCAAATTATAGAATGTTTATTTAAATGTTTCAATCATAACTACAGAACTAATAGAATTCAATGCAAAATGGGGTAAGTTAACATTCATCTGAGCCAGATGTGGTGGCACACATCTGTAATCACAATGACAATGTGGGAGGCTGAGGCAGAAGGATTGCAAGTTCAAGGCCAGCCTCAGCAACTTAGTAAAACCCTAACCAGCTAGCAAGACCCTGTCTCAAAATAAAAATAAAAAGGGCTAGGGAATGTAGCTCAGTGAAAATGTAGCTCAAAGAAATGATAAATGTTTGAGATGATAACCCAAATAACCTGACTGTTCATACAATATATAGATAGTATTGAAACATTACACCCTACCTTATAAATATGTGCAATTATTATCTGTCAATCAAAAATAATTTTAAAAGAATCCAATTGTAAAATATGTGTCCACAAAGATGAACCAACCAACATCAATTTAATTACTTGAGGAAAGGGAATTTCCGTACTTTATGTGCTTTGCTATCTAGTATGTAATATCAGTAACCCCCATCTCAGGTTTTAACCAGAACATATAAAATACATTTTGACTATTTATAGTCAGAAACAACAGCTTAATATCAACATTGCTTCAGCTTGGGTAGACATCTTGAACTCATCTGAGCAAAATGGGGTGTAGGTTGAGACACTGAATACGAAAGCCACAAATGCCTGGGAGAATGTGTTGGGGCTGACAGTTTCCTTACAGTTCAAAAACTTGCTCAACTAGTCCCGTAACTAGTAGGTGCTAAAGATTGGATTTAAACCTAGTAGACATAGCCAATAGCAGACCATGTTAAGATCTACACCTGTATAGAAAGCCACAAACCTGAGAGCAGTAGGAAAGTGGAAAAAGTGTAACAAAAACCATGCACTACTATTGTAGGATACTATGGACAACTGCCAAACTCAGATCTGGACTAAATTAATTCTCATGCTCCAGATGCTGGTCCAGGTATTTTATACATTAACTGATGTTTGATGAGGATGTCAGGGATAATGACAATGATGGGGACAACAGAGCTTTATACACATAATCTCATGAAATCTTCACTATAACTTTTTAGGTTAAGTATTATGTATGCATTTACTAGATCAGGAAACAAACTATAGTTAAATACTCTATTCAAGGTCATACTAATATGGCTAATATGGCTCAACGTCAGGATTTAAACAGTTTTTGATACCAAAGTCCATGCTTTAAATCACTATGAAAATGGTCTTCAAAATTTGGTAATATTCATGTCTCATGATGTGCGTAGGGCAGACTTATGAAACTTTATTTACTGGCCAAACATCATATTCTACCATGGGTATAAATAAATGTTCTAATAAATGTTCTTTAAACATCTAAGGGAGAAATCCCAACTTGGAATTGGTGGAAAGAAAATCTTAAAAGTCATAAATTTGTATTGTGAATTTAACAGACATTAAAATAAAAATTCAAGTTTTAGTGCTATGCATTTCCCAAGACAAACAAAATAAAATGATGTTGGTAGGAAAAAAAATTGGTAATATGTTATCAGTTTCATGAAATATTTTATGAAACAAGAGAACTATAGTCAATTAAACTTGGGGACTAAGTTTATACATGTTTAGTTTTTTATTTGTTTTGTTCTGTAAATTGAACGTAAGAGTCCTTTACTACTGAGCTACATCCCCAGCCCCAGCCCTGTTTATTTTTTATTTTGAGATGGCATCTCCCTAAGTTTCTGCAGCTGGCTTCAAAATTGAGATCTTTCCGTCTCAGCCTCCTGAGTTGCTGGGATTACAGGTATGCACCTCTGCAAATTTCAAAACATAGCCAGGCATAGCGATGCATGCCTGTAATCCCAGCAACTTGGGAGGCTGAGACAGGAAGATCATAAGTTCAAGGCCAGCCTAGGCAACTTAGGAAGACTCTGTTTGAAAATAAAACAGAAAAAAAGACTGGGAATGTAGTTTGAGGGTAAAGTGCTCCTGGGTTTAATCACAAGTACCTAAAAAAAAAAAAAAAAGATTCAAAACTCACATTAAATAGAATTCTAGAATGCTTTATCATTAAGAAAGAAAACCTCATTAACTGTTTAACTCAGCATTGCCAAATTTTATTTAACCAAGGAACCCTTTGTAATGTGTAATATACATCATTAAAACAAATAAGAAGGAGGCCATTAGCCTGAGGTTGTCCCTGTAACCAGAGCTCCCAGGCAAACCAAAATCCACAAGTCAATATAAACAGTAAAATGAAACTTAAGTTTAACCAATCAGAAACCACCAACTAAACTAAAGAACTTTTCACAGGATCATACCCAAATAAGGCAAATGTCTAGCTGTAGCCAAATAAGTTTTCTATTTTGCTTCCATGTTCGGCCTCCAAAACCTCCTGGCTCACAAGCAGAGTGGAGCTCTCTGAACCTCTTCTGGTTCTGAGTGCTGCCTGATTTATCAATTGTCCCTTGCACTCCATTAAATTTACTTTGTCTAAAGTTTTTCTCTTAATAATATTAATATCCTCCGGCACTAAAATCTGTAAATATAAAAGAAGCTCCTTCCTGTATGATGCATTCTTAGTGTGGACTACACAAGAAGTACAGAAGAGGGTGGAATAGAGAAGTGAGGTGGGGACAAGGAAGGCTGGACAGGCATGGCTAGGGAGCCCAGCGGATCTCATCCATGCCCAGCCTCACTAAGCAGCCATGTGTCTGTGAATAAGTTACTTAACTTTCTTGGGCCTCTATTTCCTTTCTTTTAAATAAAGAACATTACTAATTTTACAGTGTTAATTATCATTCAGTGTTTATGATTCAGTAAATAGATCCATTATTATACAGAAACCTTTGGACAAAGACCCTAATTTAGAATAGATATACATATAAGAAATAGTGAACTAAATATCTTGCACTTTAGAAAAGTGGACTTGCCATTCATGGTGGCCCACACCTGTTATTCCAGTGACTTGAGAGGCTAAGGCAGAAGGATTAAGTTTGAGGCAGGCCTCAGCAACTTAGTGAGACCCTCAGCAATTTAACAAGACCCTGAAAGAAAGAAAGAAAAAAGGAATAAGGATGTAGCTCAGTGATAAAACATCCCTGGATTCAATCCCCAGTACCAAAAACAAGAGGGAGGGAGGGGGGGGGGGGGGGGGGGGGGAGAGAGAGAGACTTCAAATTCTTCAAAGAAAAAGTAGTTTAAATCTAATATTTATGGGATAGGAAGCTTAGAAGAGAACCTCTCAATTTCTCATGGAGTAATCATCAGTTATCTATTCTAGCAGAAAAGATATAGAATGATACCAAATAAATGTGGGAATTTGCCAATCATCATTTAAGGAGATGACTTGTAATCATAAGTAATATTTAGCCAGAAACAAGTAGATAATTCCTTACAAAGACAAGCATAAATCTGTAA